TAAGAAGGCCAGGGGAGGACACACTTGCTGCACATTTAGCTTGGTTCTTAAGGTTCAAAAATCCTTGTGAACTTCCCTCCATAGTAGGGTTCCTTGAGCCCTCCTGGTCTAAAAAGCTGTCTGTTGGGAGCTTTGGTTAGAGAATCCGCGTCAAGGCCCCTGATTTCGGTGAGAGGCACCTGTGTCCACCACAAGGGCAGTGAGTCCAGCAGTGTGGCCACCTGTGGCTGGTTGAAGATGCAGGGACTTGGGAGAGAGACATGAACCCCCACCCGCCGCCCCTCCCCCAGGTCGCCCTCAGCCTTCTCCAGGTTCGGGCCACAGGGTTTAGTGTCAGGCAGGGGCCTGGGTTCAAGCCTCAGCTTTGCCTTCTTGCAGAATGGCCTGCAGTGAGCTCTTGTACCCCCAAGTGCTTGTGTTTTCATGTCGAAAGAGGAGGGAGGGATGTGGCTTTGCAGGCATGCTGTGAAGGGCCCGGTTCTGAGACAGGGGTCCGTAACTCCGGGTAATGATCGCATGGGATAATGTCAGCCGTCGTAGAACAACCCCAAACACGCGCGCACAAATAGCTCTTTTGAGTTTTTAGATTCCCTATTAGGTCCCCTTCACACCCCCAAACCCCCGAAGTCTTTGGTTATCTGGCAAGTACACAAAAGGAAATTGCATGTAACTGACAATAAATACCCAGAAATTCAAAGTTGTGAAAATCAACACTTGAGGAAACATGAAGACAAGAAGTGCACAAAGACAGAAAGGGCCGTGAGCACCCAGCGGCCCAGCCTCAGCCTGGGGAGCAGCGTGGGCAGTGAGCTTGGAGGAACCTCAAGACGCGACTCAGACTGCAGCGGCAGCGGCCATGGCCGGCCCCGCCCAGCAGGGGGCGCTGCCCGCCTCGACTCTGCGCCTTGGCTCTTGCTCTCGATGACAGCGATGGTTGTTTTTCTGATTGTAGATCGAGGAAACCCGGCTGAACATTGACAAGATCTCCGAGCACGTGGAGGGGGCTAAAAAGCTCTATAGCATCATTCTGTCTGCGCCCATTCCGGAGCCCAGTGAGTGCATGGGGCGGGTCACCGGTGCCAGCCAGTGCTTGGGTCAGAGCCAGCCTGGGCTCTTTCCTCCTGCAGGGAGGAGGAGGGAGCAGCTCAGTGACGTCAGGCTGTGGCATCCCGCCTCACACTGCCTGTCAGCTTCCCCTTCACTGAGTCCATCCTCTCCCTTTCCTGCGCGAGTGCTTCTCGCCTACCTCCCTGCCTTGCCCCTGTTCCGGCCTGAAATGCTTTTCCCCTTTTCAGACCCTCCCACTCCACCCACTGTCTGCCACCGTGTTGTCAATGGCGCGTGCGGGATCCCTCTGCCTCAGAAGTCCTGCTGGCTGCCCTTATTTCCCCCAGTAGTTCACGTTTCTCGGGTCTGGTACAGAGCTGTGCTCACATTCCTTAAGGACGGAGGGCAAACTTCACACCACTGTATTACTCTTTAACCCCTTCAGCGGCTTACTGTTTCCTAACGGCTCACTGTTTCCTAAAGATCGAAGCTGGAGTGCGCAGCAGAGCACGTGGGAGCCGTCCGGTCACTGTCCTGGTCTCCTGGTCACTGTCCCCATCACTGTCCCGATCACCGTCATGGTCCCGGTCACTGTCCCCGTCTCGGGCACCGTCCCAGTCACCATCCCAGTCGCTGGCCGACTTCCCTGCCTCGCTTTTCTCCTGCCACCCTCCCCCATGTCACCCACGGGGCAGCCAGACTACACCCTAAGTGCTGTGGCCCCTCACTTCACACATGCCATCACCCACTCTTAGTTTCCTGTTCTGTCTGGCTGACTCTCAGTCTTTGTTGGAGAATCTGCCGACACCATCTGTCTTCAGGTGCCTTCGGGCCTCTGTGGGTGGTGCCTGGCCGCTTCCCCGTGGCTGTGAGCTTGACCAGCTCGTACACCATAGTGCATGTGCTCTCCCCACTGCTGAAGTTTTTGACCTTTTCAACCCCTGGACAGCGAGCCCCTGAAAGGCGGGACCTGTATCCTCTTTGGACGCTTTAGGTTCCAGCTCAGGTCTGAGCTTGTGCTAGGTGCTGAGGGATGGCATTGTTCGTAGTCACAGCTTGTACACCCTAGGGCAGCCCTGGGCACACAGTAGGCATGTCATAAATGCCTCGCTCTAAGTCGACGAGCCTTGGGTGAGATCTCTTTTCGAGATCCTGTAGGACACTCCTCTACCTTCTAAGTTGAAGATTGTTCCTTGTAAAAGCCAGGTTCTCCAAGTCTCAGGCACTGGCAAGTCTTGTTTAAAAGGCAGAGTGTGAGTTCCAACCTGGGTGATTTCATTTTGTAGGTCTGGGAGGGGACCCATGAAAATGGTTTGTAACAGTCAGTTCTCTGTGAGGCTTTCTGGGAAGCACCCCGGGATAAAGGCAGCTGCGTGGGACGGGCGTCTGGGAAAGGGCCACCCGCTCTGTGAGAGCTGTCCCTCACAGAACAACTAGCTTCTAACTGATTCTGCCACCTCTGTTTACCCAGAGACCAAGGATGACCTAGAGCAGCTCACGGCTGAGATCAAGAAAAGGGCCAACAACGTCCGGAACAAGCTGAAGAGTAAGAGGGGGTGCCCCCTCCCCCCCCAGCCCCCTGACACATGGCAGGGCCCAGCTCTTCTGGACCCAGCTCAGCCCTGGGGGAAGTGGCAGCCCTGTTCTGCCTTTGCTTGTGGCTTGGGCACCGTCTGGAACGACTGGAATGACCTCTCATCACCCTGGAGCCTTTACCCACCCTTGAGTCATGGCTGCGGCTGAAGGGGTCCCGGGGCCCAGTCCGGCGGCGCTTGTCCTCTGTCAGCTGTTGAGGAGCTGTGCTACTGTCAGTTCTCAGTCCCTCGACTTTGCTCACGTGTCCTGCTTCCCCTGCCTCCCTCTGGGCGCTGATGAGCAGCCTGGAGTGAGCCGCGTGGCGCCCAGCCCCTGGGGTGGGCTGCATGGTCCCTGCTATAGTCTGCGTCTGGGGGGGTGGGGGTGCATGCAGGGACAGAGGGCGAAGACGGCCTTGCCCAGCCCGGCCGATCATTACTTCCAGAGACACAGACTGCAATGCCTGTGCCGGGGAGGGGGTAGAGGTCTTTAGCAGGAGCTTTGGGGCGATGCCAGTGTGCAGGCTCCAGGCAGGGCTGGTGTCTGCATTCTTGCTGCTCTTCAGCTGGTGGGGGGAGAGCAGGAACCCCGGGAGGTGTTACCCGAGTCACACAGCCCGTGAGTGGCCGGCGGGGCCCTGAGCCTGAGTCTTGAGGTGCAGAGACCCACCTTACCTGTGGTGCTAGCTCTGCTGAGGTGCCTTCCAGGAAGTCCCGGTGCCAGAGCGGTGTCACGGGCATGAGGGACTGAGTGGGAGGCTGGCGGGAACGGTCTTGTCTTAGAAGAGAGCCGAGGACATGTTGCTTGAATTGCCTATCTGCTCGCCAGGCATGGAGAGGAACATCGAGGACTATGAGGTCGGGTCGTCCGCGGACCTTCGCATCAGGAAGTCCCAGGTACGATTTCCTGGGCCAGACCACGCCAGGCCACCGAGGTCCAGCCTTCTCTTTGTTCCCCTTCAGCCAGGGAGCCTTCCCTCCCTCCCCCCCTTCCCCCTCCCCCCCCCTCAGGTTCTCATTTGGAAATGAATTAGTGGGAGAGTCAAGGGAGCCTCCAGGGTGAGGCGGGGCTGGCCAGTCCAGCAGGGCTGGTCACTCACCCCCTCTGCAGGGAGCCCAGCCTGGGACTCAGCCACGCCTTATCTCCAGCTGAGGAAATGGGACCTTAGTTGTCCCTTAGCTCATT